ATATTCATCATGCCAGATGTTCGCGATAAGGTGAGCATATCCTGCCGCACCTGTGGCATAAGCCACAGACACATGCACAATCAATAAATAAAAATGACAAAACCCTTTCCATATTCAATGGAAATCTCTGTCGATTGTAGGATCCCCAGTATATCATGAACATGTGTTTATGAATCACTATCAAATAGTAATGATACCAGGTGTTCGTGAAAGGTGAGCATATCCAGCCCCAACGGTGGCACCCGTCACAAACACATGTAAAGGCAAGTCAATTGTTCACCTAAAAAAAAGCATAAGAACACATGGTACAAGTCGAAATAGGAAACAGCATCGGACATCATTTTTGTCACTTTACGTCAAATTTGGAAATGTCCTTCACATGTCTCCAATAAAACGTTTTGAAAGCTTCACTGGGGACTTGAATGTTGTAACTTTGATCAAACAAATTCTGAGCAAGAGTCGCCCTTTGAAATCTTGGTAGGAAGAGCATGCCCGATTGTATCTCAAAAGTTGTAAAACGTAAACACAGAAGACTGGAGCTGCTGGAATATTGTTCGACATGAAGGGGAAGTTGACTATTGGAAAGTTGAAGTCATCCCTTTGTCATACAGTCTTGTGGAGAATCTGAATCGTTATGCATAAATCTAAATCTGAAACAAATGAGGCGGACACACTGGCCTCCTATATTTCTAGTTCAGATAGGTTAATCAGTGGAAGGGAATTGGCTATTTGATGGTTATTGAACGATATCAGATCATCAGTGTACCTGAAGCTTAAGTTAAACTTCTTGGCAAAATTAACATGTTTTGACTTTGCCAATCCGTGTAGACATTTCCGATTCATATGCATACAAAAACAGATCCACAAGAATGTGAACACAATTGGTGCCAATGGGGATTCCGCCTTCTTGCCAAAATACCTTATCCCCAAATTTTACATTAATGTTATCAAGTCCAGCATTTCACATATTGTTTCCTCAGTAATCTTCAGATAGCATTTGCTTTCAATTTTGAAAAATTTACCTTAACCTCTGAATATGGGTACGTAACTGTATCAGTGGTCATCATTTTTTGTAACAAAAGATCATTGAATCAAGGCATAAAGTGTGTCACGTGGGATAGTGGTGTACAAAGTTGAAAAATCGAATGTTTGTAAAGAATAGAATGTCAAGTCAATTGTTCACCTGAAAAAACCGGAACATTTGCAACAAGTTAAAAAAGGGAACTGATCTGACATGATTATTTTCTTTGATGCAACAAATTTTGAAATGTCCTCCGCATTTTTACCGTTAAACGGTTGTGAAAGCTTTGCTGGCGACCGATTTAAGTTTGATCAAGCAACTTTTGAACAAGAGTCCTACGGCGTTCTTTGAAATCACTTTGAAATCTTGGTGGAAAGAAACATGATTTGCAGAGATAGTTGACATATTCCTAGTGACAATTTGGAAGGAAAGAAAAGTTTCACGCTGCAGCAGAGACTTTGACATCACCGTTTACAAATTTGATAGAACAGCCAGATAGAATCTTCAGGGGTAGTTGTCTTGATCCTATTGTGGGTAACTTGATTTTGTTATCATTCAACTTGAGATAGTTAACATACACCTACAGCTCTATCGTATTTGGTAAAGACACCCAATATATATTCATGTATTAGTCACACGAATGTGCAACGTGACAGGCTGCCGTCGTCGTGGTGTTTTCTGTGTGTCTCATTGTTCCAGTCTTCTACTATCAAGGTAGGCAGCTGTATTACTTCTCTGTAATAATGTGGATGTGTGTGTGTTTGTTTTGTGTGTGTGTGTTTGTGTGTGTTATATCGTGTGTGTGTGTGTGTGTGTGTTACAACGTGTGTGTGTTACAACGTGTTTGTGTCTGTGTTACAACGTGTGTGTGTCTGTGTTACAACGTGTGTGTGTGTTTCATGACGTTTCTGTGAAGATGTACACACTCCACCTGAGGTATCACAGGCCACCCTCCCTTCTACCTTGAGACAAACTCCCTCCCTGGCACAGTCCAGACTCATGATGTAACACTCCACACAAGGCCACATCCATGGTGTAATAAAAATAAAGTTAACTAATTATCATTAATAATTTTTTTAGATGTAACAGTTATTGTTGTTGGGTTTTTATTTAAAGGAAGAAAAGGGGAAACAAATGCATAAAGCATTATGTTTTTTTAATATTTTTTTCATTTCAAAAGTAAAACAAAAGAAAAGAAAAAAAATTCTCCTTTCCTTCCTTCATGGTTTTTTCATCAAGTATGAACTAGTGACTTCAGTGAGCACTGAGAGTTTTATCAACCCATTTGGATTCTGTGTCCCAGTCATAACAGTATGTGAAAAGAGTTATGTAGACACTACACAAAATTGTTCCAAGTTCATAGTCAGTAACCAATATTGGGTGAGGTTTATCAAGCCAGCTGGATTTGATGTCTCAGTCATAAACAGTGTGTGGTAGAGTTTTTCTTTAACTGCACTCAAAATGACCTAAGATCATAGTCAGTAACCAATACCTTGTGCCCAGCGAACTGTCAAGTGTCCTGTTCCACTGACCTAGTCATCTATTATTACTACTGGTGAAGTGTACTGTAACTGTGTCAATGATTTTATCCCTGAAGTGCATCTCATGTCATCACTGAATGCCATTCAGTAATTGCTTCTGTTACCGCTTCAGTGATTCTCGAACTCCTACACGTATTTCTATTGTTTCTGGTTCAGTGATTTCAATTGTTTCCGCTTCAGTGACCGCAAGGCGCAAGGCAAAACTCAAACCCCTATATTTTCAACTACTCGGGGCGATCGGGTAGCCTAGTGGTTAAAGCGTTCGCTCGTCACGCCGAAGACCTGGGTTTGATTCCCGACATGGGTACAATGTGTGAAGCCCATTTCTGGTGTCCCCAGCCGTGATATTGCTGGAATATTGCTCAAAGCGGCGTAAAGCCATACTCACTCACTCACTGACTCACCCACTCACAAAGGTATGTCATGTAATTTGTAACATATTTAACATTCAAAGCAGTGAGCCGACGGTGGGACATACAATGCTTACCCTGTGACATTGAATACTTGTGTAAAAAAGCCCTAAGTATGCCAAAAGCAGAGTATAAAGTACGATTCCAACTAACACATTAGCATGTATCTATGGATCAAAACCAAATAGCGATGAAACCAGTTGTTTCACACAAAAAATGAGCGAATCCTGCCTCACCGGCGTTACCCGTCACAAACACACGCAAAGGCAATGGAACTTCCCATCTAAACCAACAGGAACGCACGGCAAAACAGGGAAACGCATCGTATGCTCGTTATAGAAATGGTATAATCCTCAAGGGTACACCAACTTCATGTAAAACGCATCAATAAATAAAGGTAACGGTTCACGTAACTTGGACAGTTTTGTGTATTCGTGACCAACATCAAACTAAAGCGAGCCTGAGAAGACGGGTGAGATAATATAAAGTTTCTAGGGTTGCAATCACAGTAAAGTACGGTTATAACGAACTCAAAGGGACTATTAATTTTAGTTCGTTATAACCGTAGTTCGTTATAAGCATATATATAGCATAACTACAGCAAATAGTCGGGACCAAAAAAGTAAGTTCGTTATATCCGTCAGTTCGTTATTACCGTGTTCGTTATAACCGTAGTTTACTGTATTTGACTTTTGTGGGTTCTATAGAACTGGAAAACTATTAACGTAAGTTATGGGTGTTGAGAAAAGTTCAAATGCAAGGCAAAACTTGTGACATGACACATCAGGGGATGAGTGAGTGAGTATTGTTTTACGCCGCTTTCAGCAATATCAAGAGGGAGGACACCAGAAACGGGATTCACACATTGTACACATTGCAAACATGAATGAGAGTAAGATTCAACATCACTTTAAGTCAAATCACCTGGGTGAGTGAGTGAGTTGGGTTCAATGCAGCTTTTAACAGTATTCCAGTTATATCACGGCGTGTCAGTTTAATTCGGGAAGAAAGCACGAAGTGATGCAGGTCTCAGACGTTTACCACTTCGGTGAAACCAACGAGCACAGGTATGGTGCTGACAAACCTAGAAACATAATCGGGGCGAACCAGGATTCGAACCCACAATCATATGTTTCTTGCGTGCCCAAGACACGGCGAATCGCGGCGCCTTAGACGACTGGGCCACCCGTGCTCCTCTAAACCCCTGGGGGATCCGTATTGCTAAAATGGGCACGCTGAAGGGCATAAATCTGACTAATTTACAAACTAAGATAGTTTAATGCGCCTATTGTTAAGCCGTGTTAGGCGTGTTAGGTTGGGTGAATTTACCTTTCAATGTTTTTCATTTGTATTGAAATGATTTAATTTTCCGGTTGATAACTGCACAAAAAATTATGCAATAAGTAGGATATTCCATGTGGCTCGTGAAATATGTCACTCTCATCTCGTGACAGGGGGAAAATGAGATATTTACCCTCGAGGGATCGATGACATGCATCAACCAAGTCAGCGAGCTTGACCACCCGATCCCGTTAGTCGCCTTTTACGACAAGCATAGCCACCTTTTACGGCAAGCATGGGTTGCTGAAGACCTATTCTATCCCGGAATCTTCACGGGTCTCAAGGGTGTTAAGAGAGCCCACAACCCTCGATCGTGGTTTCTAATTCCAAAGTCGTTTGCTAACCAATGTGGTGAACATCTAAGGCCTGAATCACTTATGGTTGCACTCACATATCAATAAATACCGGTTAAAATACCTTCAAACCAGACTATGTCTTGGCTATCTGTGAACAGGAAATCGAATTTCAAGCACACATGGTTTGAGCACAATTGTCTCAAGAACTTGAACTTGTCGCCTTTGTCGTATTTTATAACTTCATTACGGGACAACCTTTTCTGCATGTTTGTGTGGAAGTCTTGGAGTTACTAATTAACGTTCGTTACTGGGAAGTCATTACGCTTGGCTGTTTCATAAATAGTAAATTATCTTTACAGTCAACTCCAGAACTTAAGTGCCCACAATCTTTACCGGGTCGGTCGGGAGAAGATGTGGGTGCGTGTCCTCGTCTGTGCAGCTGTCAGTGTTACAATACAGCATACAGTACTCGGTGAGTATTTCACTTTCAAGTTGCTTGTTAAAGAGGCCATATCCTAATTGTGATGAAACCAACACTCAAGACAACCTAAATTACCATCACAAAAAAAGGTCGTCAGGCATTTAAAAGGGTTATTATCTGCGGTGTCATTGGCATGAAGATATAAGTGACGTTTCTAACCTGTAATGTTTACCTGTCACAAAACACAAATAATGGCAAGTGCTCCCTACACGTCCCCTAGCTGTTTATATTGTTTCACTTCACTACTAAGAGTGATGGCCACGTGTGGCAATGTCGTGCAGGGGGGCGTATTTCAATTCGAAAAATTGCGTCCCATAGCATTGCTTTTCATTGAAATTCAGGGCTGGTTTCCAAATGCATCTTTAGGAATGGCTTAACAATAGGCGCATTACAATGCGTATCTTAGTTTGTAAATTATGCCCTTCAGCGTGCCCATTTTAGCAATGCGGATCCCCCAGGTCTGAGGCGCCGCGATTCGCTGTGCAGAGTTGCTTCCCTTGGGCACGCCAGAAATCTATGATTGTAGGTTCGAATCCCGGTTCGCCCCGATTATGTTTCTAGGTTTGTCAGCACCATAACCGTGCTCGTAGGTTTCACCGAAGTGGTAAACGTCTGAGACGTCGGGCTTTCCTCCAACATTAAGCTGACACACCGTGATCTAACTGGAATGCTGTTAAAAGCTGCGTTAAACCCAACACACACACTCACCCAGGTGATTTGACTTAAGGTGATGTAGAATCTTACTCTCATTCGCTCAATAATTTAAAATAACTTACGAACATAATGGAGTTTCCACAATGGTGTAACAGTGGCGTTTCGGTACAGATCCTTATACCGTTGTCAAGCGAAAACGTGGGAAAACGAGATGGTCACGCCTCAAACAAACTTTTCTATCTGCCGTGCATTTATAATTGGGAATGTAAATTACCAGGCTTTTTACATTAACCTTTGTAAAAGGGAAACAGTTGTCATATAGCCCTGTGAAGGTCGAATGTCAATAAGTTTATTTAATCATTTACACATACTGTATGAAAATAATGATAAGATCGCAGTTATCTTGTATTTTATGTATTGTAGTCAACTAGCACAATATCATCTCTTAAAACATTATTTAAACGATCCATGAGACATTAAATGAAGCCCTAGCAACAAATAAGGTTATCGCACATATCCCAATAGTGAGTGAGTGAATATGGTTTTACGCCGCTTTTAGCAATATTCCAGCAATATCACCGCGGGGGACACCAGAAATGGGCTTCACACATTGTACCCACGTCGGGAATCGAACCCTCCTGGTGTTCGGCGTGATAAGCAAACGCTTTAACCACTAGGCTACCCGATCTCCCACACTCCAAAGAGAGGAAACGCATGGCCATACCATAAACTGTGGGAAGACACACACATTTACTATACATCTGAACACTTGATAAGTGATGACATTATTGCTGACAAAACAACAAGTCAACACGTGTCCAACACGAATTTATCATCCAATACTGGGGCGCGTTGCAAGCCCCATCCCGGGGTCTGCACAAGATCAAAGAGCTTGCGCACTCTTCCAAAATGTCGGCGCAGCTACCGCTTGGTTGCCTTGCCTTGGTGAAGAGCGTAATGGAAGAGGCTCGATGACGAGCCGATGAATAAATGACAACTTTGAAGGTGTGGAGCACACAGAGGAAACAGCGATGTAAGATGGCTTTGCCCATTTTCCATTTTATTCAGTCAAGAATTTCTCGTTCAGCTGTCGAACACAGCCGCTATTTCGGTTTGAGAACGAAGCGACCTCAGCCCGCGATTGGTGTGATCGCAAGCGGCTAAGAGTTAGGGCCCTGTTGTGATGCGAATAGCTGAACATCGCTTGCAAGCGATTGGCATTTTGAAACGCACCCCTGGTCTACGAAGGAGTTATCGCTAGGAGATTTCGCTGCAATAAAATAGCATCACAATGCTTTAGAGACCATTGTGACATCGTCAGTTATCCTGACGTCAACTGACATCACTTATATCCCTGCTTCTGAAGCTGGTTAGCAGTATTTTTTACACTAAGCATTACTACTGTTTAAGGGGTCACGGGTGGCCCAGTCGTCTTAGGAGCCGAGATTCGCTGTGCAGAGTTGCTTCCCTTGGGCCCGCCAGAAATCTATAATTGTGGGTTCGAATCCCGGTTCGCCCCGATTATGTTTCTAGGTTTGTCAGCACCATACCCGTGCTCGTGGGTTTCACCGAACTGGTAAACGTCTGACACCTGCATCACTTCGGGCTTTCCTCCAACATGATGACACGCTGTGATATAACTGGAATACTGTTAAAAGCGTCGTTAAACCCAACTCACTCACTCACTCACTCACACCACTATTTACAAAATAAAACTGTTGAAAGAACGATTCTGGATAAGAAATAGAATTTTACCGATGCAGCACTTTATGTGCTAATGCCCTCACTGTGTTGCAAAGACCCGTGAAGATAGAATAGGTCTTCAGCAACCCATGCTTGCCGTAAAAGCTAAGGCGACTATGCTTGTCGTAAGTGGCGACCAACGGGACCGGGTGGTCAGGCTCGCTGACTTGGTTGATGTATGTCATCGTATCTCAATTGCGTGGATCGATGCTTATGATGTCAATCACTGGATTGTCTGGTCCAGACTCTATTATTTACAGACCGCCGTCATATAGCTGGAATATTGCTGAGTGTGGCGTTAAACAACAAACAAACAAACACTTCAGACTACGCTTGAAAAATATGTTAACACAGTTCTCGATTAAAATTTTGAAAACTGAACAAACATTCCAGAATGTCTAATATATTGTTGAGATTGTATGGCAGTGCTTCCCACGTACTGTGCAACGCCTCCTCCGTTTAAATGTTTATCCCACGGAGACGACAATTTTGACGGAATCAGTCGTCGGGGTCGTAACTGTCGTTCTGAATACCCCGTGTTAACGTTTTCGAGGTTGCATGATTAGAAAAACACATTCAGACTGTCACTTTCACGAGCTGGTAAGCAACGCTTTGATTGGTCGGATGAAAGGTCGTTCTGACGTGACCCATAATACAATGTCCTCAGACCTTTGTTTAGCGATAGCGAGAACTAAGATCTGATTTTAATGAGATTGGAAAGTATTGTGACACAGTATCACGTGTATCAAACATGGGGTTATAGTAGCGGGTGAAGATCCAAATAGGATAATCTGCAATGTCCCATATCAATGTTTCCTTCAATACAGACTGATGAGAAGTTATTCGTCCAGGAACTGTTACATTTGTCGATATCACGATCTTAATCCAAAAAAATAATGATGGATCCTCGAGGGCCCATGAACTGACCATTTTCATTTAGTTGAGAATATGGTCACATGTTTGTATCCGAGATGGCCGAAAGGATACGAACTCCAGTTTTGTGGCTTACGTGAATCAATGTATTCTGCGTGATATTAGGATATGTTAAAGTGGAGAAAAAGCCACTCTGTAGTTTTCCTTAAGGCGAAATTATTTTGAAATGCCATGGAATGGACAGGAATGTGAGACCCATGAAGATCCGGGTTAGAATAGGTGTTCAGCAACCCATGCTTGTCTAAGGCGAGACTTTGAGTCTCGTAAGAGACAACTCTCGGTAACACAGCCGTGAAGATCCGGGTTAGAATAGGACTTCAGCAACCCATGCTTGTCTAAGGCGAGGCTATGGGTCTCGTAAGAGACAACTCTCGGTAATACAGCCGTGAAGATCCGGGTTAGAATAGGTCTTCAGCCACCAAAGATTGCCGTAAAAAACGATTATAACTGTTGTAAGAGGCGACTAACGGGATCGGGTGGTCAGGCTCGCTGACCTGGTTGATGCATGTCATCGTGACCCAAATGCATGGAACGATGCTCTGTCAATCACTGTGCATACTCGACTATCTACCGACCGCCGTCATATCGCTAGAATATTGTCACAAACAAACAGGAACGTGAGGACATGCCGACATGTGGTACACATCTATGCCCAGGGGCATTAATGTATTGCGCTGTACGATGACATCTACATTTCCTCACAGGACAAACTAACAATACCACTGATACAGAGAGAATTTCACGATACGTTCTTCAAGAGTGTAGTGAAAACGACTCGTTATGGTTTCCTTCAGGTGAAAGTATAGCAGATGGGAAAGTTGCAACGCAAAGTAGTACGCATGCTGCCGGAAGTCGGGCTCTCAGTGAAGCCTACAGGTCCTCTGGGTCATTAACACAGCTTGAAAAACAGACCTGGTGGGAGGTGGACCTGCGTGGCTACTTCAATATCAACAACATCACCCTCACAGCAGCCACTAACGGATGGGGTAAGCTGAATAGCTTCTTTTCGTTTATGTTTCATGTATCGTTTCTATGACAATTACATGTTCGTCTGGTTATCTGAACAAAATGTATTGTCCCTGAAAATTCGTGGAAAAGAAATATGGTTTAGACTGATGGAAAGGAATTACCTGTCACATAAAATGACATAGTTACAAGGTGTTTGTTTTTAAAAAAAGAATTCAGGCTCACAGTGAAAAAATATATAATCTCGATACAAAATCCCAGCTCCACACCTCCCCCGCTCCCAACCAGAATATCAAATGGACGGTCCCTAAGAGGCACTTAAATGGAGCCACGCTGGGTGATTTGTATATCGTATCCCAATGGCTTGTATTGTTGCTGATGTAGTCAGTCACTGGATTGTCTGGTCAATCAGGACTGGTCGGTTAGATACAGTCCGCTCATCATAAAGCTGGAACATTACTGAGTGCAGTGTTAAACAACAATCAGGCAAACATAGATTGTTATTGGCACCGCCTGTCTGTTGTCTATAAGAACAGAGTGCCTTTCGTTTCCAGCTACTTTCATGGCAGCTGTTTCTGTGGAGGTGATGGACAAAGATATCAGCCTCTGCTATGACGTCCAGGTGGAGTGGTGTGGGAATGTGTCCAGCACTGTTGCCAGTGGGGAGGAATTCACCTTCACCTGCAATGCCACATTCCCCGTTCGTTTTGTGCGTGTTTCAAGGAATGCCACAATCAACCAGTACCTCGCTATCGGACATATTGATGTTCAAGGGGAAGGAACTAAAAAGCCATATCGTGAGTCACAGTGGTTCAAACTTCGTCACTATATCCTCACCATAATCAGTATGATTTTATATTCTATTGTCACAGAGCTCCAGATAAGCTTTTGGTATTCTGGGTATTTTACCCATGCATTTTAAAATCATTGGGTATCAGTAATTCTATCTGAGTATTCAAATTTCTTTTATCCACTAGTTTTTACACATGTGGGTATTTAAGTTAAATATGTAAAAACACTATTCATCTAGTCCCTGCAAACTGGTGCAGTGTGGTTCGAGAGCTTTGTAGGACTCAAAAATACCACGATACTTCCACAAGAAAGTGTGATGGCAAATGATCATGATGTAACTGTCATCGTGGAGTTTGGCAAGGTTGACGGAATGCCCGTTTATAATTTCAAAATAAGTTGCTGATTTGCGATTCGAATACGTAGTGTTACTTCACAATATTTTGATGATACGCACAAGTTTTATTTTTGTAGCGTATCTGTAAAGTTCGTTGCGTATTTGAGACGTTTTGATTTGATTTTACTGCGTATTTCTGTATTTCTGATGCGTATTTTACGCAGATACGCAGCTTATCTTGAGCCCTGTATTGACCACAGTTAAACCCGAGGTTAAATAAATGTGAACAAGGGATAAAACACAGTTACCATGTAAAATCATTAAAACGTCAGACAATCTAATGTACCAATAAGTTACACATATTCTAAACCTGATTACACAATGAATGTCAGTTATGATTAATTTTCTGTCCAAGGTTCCAACTTCAAATCCACAAAGAACAAGAAGGTGTCCCGGCCGTTTCTGACCACATCAGCCATGACTGCCGGCGACTGTGGCATCATTTGTCACAGACATCATGCCTGCATCGACTTCAGCTACAGCAAAACGGCACCTACAGATGCTAACTGTCTGCTAACTGACAAACCGCTGTCTTCATATTTTGTCAACGACAATTCTTGGACAACCAACACCCTGGAATGCCTGTAAACATTCTAATCCAGGATATGTTAACACGTTTCAATTCTTATCTAACACACAGTCCAACGTATCCAGTCTTTATAACTGCAACGTTGTTTAACTATGGTTTATTTAGCTAAAAATGTTTTCAAACCTTGTCAATTCTTTAGAATTGTTTTTGTCATCTTATTCAAACATGTTTCAGGTCAAAAATGTGGATTATGATTCTGGCCCCGCCCGCATCATTGACAGACACGCTGCGTCGGGCTTTTTTATTCAGCCTGGACATCACTCTGCTGAACTTGTATGAATCACTGTGAAAAAAGCATTCTAATATCAGAGACAACTATGGTTTTCCTACAGAACATTGTTAATGCTTGAGCTTTTCAATAAGAAAGTAAAGTAACAATACTGAACTTCGTCGTGTCATTATAGGCCAAACCAAAAGACCAGTATCACCATTCGCAGTCAGATAATATGTCTACCACCATACTTAAGCAAACTATGTCCTTCAACTATTCATTCCTGAAGAAGCACTATTCACTACTTTGTTTCAATCTAGCCTCGCGAATTTTAGTTTTAGGCACACTGATGATAAGTGGAATATAAAAGAGTGTATATCTGTCAGATTGTAAGATTCATATTTGTTCCTAGCATTTAATATTATTCACGGACCGAAAGCTCATGATGAACTGATTCTGTTCTGAAATGATTGCGTTGTCAATTGTTTAGAAATGGCTATATCCATAGTAACTGTTGTTAACGACCCGCATTTTCTTGTTACACGCTAATGTATATTTAAAATCTATTTTTCAACTGTTACTTTGATAAAATATATAACGTTCTATTTGACAAATTCTATTTTTAAAAGAATACTATGAAAAGAAAATATATGTAATTTAAAATGATATATTATAAATATATTTGACAAATAAATTTATTACATTCGATTAGCGTCTTCCTCGTGTCAATCTCGTGTACAGATGTACTGATACGAATAAGAAAACTAAAGACCTGGGCCCACTTGCACAAAGCGATCTTAGTGTTACGACTATTCTAAGCCTATGTTAAAGTATGGGAGTTACGATCATCTTAGCTCTAAGATCGCTTTGTGCAAGCGGGCCCTGGAGCAAGGTGACCTTCGAGAGGGCTTGTGATAAAACATTCACAATATATTCATGAGTGAGTGAGTGAGTATGGTTTAACGCCGTTTTTAGCAATATTCCAGTAATATCACGACGGGGGACACCAGAAATGGGCTTCACACATTGTACCCATGTCGGGAATCGAACCCGGGTCTTCGGCGTGACGAGCGAACGCTTTAACCACTAGGCTACCCGACCGCCCCTAATATATTCATGACAGACGCAATTGAACACAAAGGGTAGTAACAGGTGTGACTCGTGAAGATCCGGGGTAGAATAGGCAACTTCAGCAACACATGCTTGCAGTAAAAGGTGATTATGCTTGTCGTAAGGGGCGACTTACGGGATCGGGTGGTCAGGCTTGCTGACTTGGTTGATACATGTCATCGTATCCAATTGCGTGGATCGATGTTAATGTTAATCAAAGGATTGATCCAGAATCGATTTACTACAGACCACCGTCATACAGCTGGAATAGTGTTGAGTGCGGCGTTAGACAACAAACAAACACATGTAACGGGTGTGTAACTTTATTAAAAACACGTTGCCACCTTCGAGTATAATCATTACGTGGCCTTTAACACGCTGCATATATCTATAGTAACAAGTCACGAGTCATCTGCAAGTCCCTCTCTTGTCAAGAATGTGCTCATGAAAAGTGTTAAAATGGAATAGCGGCGTTAAACACCAAACCAACCAACCATAAACATGGACGATAAAACTTCAACCTTCAAATCGTTTTCAGGGTCATTCAGTATTTGTGACCAATCATGATCGAGTGTGAGTGTGAGTGAGTTGGGTTTAACGCCGCTTTTAAAAGTATTCCAGTCATATCACAGCGGTTCAGCTTAATGTGGGAAGAAAGCTCGAAACATAATCGGGGCGAACCGGGATTCGAAATCATAGGTTTCTGGCGTGCCCAAGGGACGCAACTCTTCACAGCGAATCGCGGCGCCTTAGACGACTGGGCCACCCGTGCCCCCCGACCAATCATGAGATAGAGCATTTTGACTTTTCGTTTTATTTTAAAACTACATCATCTACGGAGCACAAATATACAATTCACAAGCTTCAATTCATTATTATTACTGAGATGCATGACATCTTCACTGAAGTCAGTTGGTGTCAAATGTCTCTATGACGTCACAGCACAATTGTTTCCTTGCACCATTAACGTCACTTTCCTCCTTGTGGGTCACATTTATGACAATATCGATATTAGATCCTACCCTCTGTCTCTATACTTATTCACTAAAGACTAAAGAAAGCATACAATGTGATTATTGTTATGATTTAAATGTTTAAACACGACTGAAATTCAAAAGTGCCTATGGATACATGAGTGAGTGAGTGAGTATGGTTTTACGCCGCTTTTAGCAATATTCCAGCAATATCACGGCGGGGGACACCAGAAATGGGCTTCACACATTGTACCCATGTCGGGAATCGAACCCGGGTCTTCGGCGTGACGAGCGAACGCTTTAACCACTAGGCTACCCGACCGCCCCTATGGATACATGAGTTGAACCAGGTACGAATGTGTATTTCTGGTGCTTGTTGTAAGAAGCACGGGGACACGGGTGTCCTATTCGTCTAAGGCGCCTCAAATCACTGTGCAAAGTCCCATCCCTTGGGCACGTTAAAAACCGTGTTCCTTGGTTCGAATCCAGGTTTGTCAGCACCATACCCGTGCTCGTGGGTTTCACCAAAGAGGTAAAATTGTAAGATCTGGATCACTTCGGGCGTTCCTCCCACATTAAGCTGACAAGCCGTGATATGACTGGCATTCTGTTAATAGCGGCGTTAAGGCCAAATCACTCACTCACTGTAAGAGGGAACTTAAATAAAGACCGAATGGTCTGCTTCTGTGACTTGTGTTATTTGCGTGTCATCGTACGCCAACGGTATGCAGCGTTGTTTGTGATATCTTGCGCTTGACATTTGTCTCCGAACTTGTCAGAACCTTACTTGATTGCAAAGTCCGTCGTGACACAGTTTGAACATTGCTGAGTTTGGTTAAACCATATTCACTCACTCACTATTGTATTTGAAAGTACATGAATTGAATACAATATATATTAGTACAACCGGTAGTGCTAATTAGTAAAATCAAAAATGGATTATTTCTCGAACACAGTCCAACGCCAAAGACAGACTGGACATGAGGTGAGGTGAAATGGGGTTTAACGTCGCGTCTAAGATTATTGCACTTAAAAAGCGACGTGCATGCACGTGTGTGTGTGTGTAGCTGCTTGTACTAGTCCGGACTGATGCCGATTCATAGTGCTAGCCCACTGAGATACCATGCCGTAGTTTAACATGAATACCCCTTGTTTTAGCCCCTTAATGCCGAGCGCCAGACAGGGTAACAACAAGTACCATCTTTTAACGTCTTTTGGTATGACGCGGCCGGGGATCGAACCCCGGACCTTCCGCTCTCCGGGCGGACGCTCTACCACTAGACCACGGAGGCGGTCGACTGGACATGAGGTTCAGGAAATCCAATATACACTTTGTCACACAAGGTAAATCCAATTTTGTTGCTGCCAATAATTTTGTTTGTTCACAATCAGTAGCTGTAGATGTCTTAAATGAACAATCGTTTGTGATTATCTACGTTGAGTTACAGACAATAAAACTGGTCATGAGTGACTATTCTGAGAAGCCAAGCACCATGCTGTTTTTGTCGGACGTAATACAATTTGGTATGTTATGGGTTTGGCAACATATCATTCCCACGAAAATGCTTTCCTTTCACGTGAAGTTGATAAATGCAGTTAAACTAACACAATCACCATCAAAAGCGTGTGTTTTTTTGGTGCGATATTTTTGTTTCGAGCAGGTTCGCTATTGATTAATGGGAGTCGAGTGTTGTTCGTGAAATGTTATTGGAAGTTGACTCAAGGTTCGGTAATTTGAATCAATATGCGGTTTCCTTCACAGAGTATAATATTCGTTCTAATGCTGAATAATATATGTGGCGTGCCAAGGCAGTGATCAATACGAGAGACAAGACTTGTTTTCAGAGACATCAGCGTATTTCCAATTGTAATGCGGGGATAACATGATAAACCCCCGGGCAAAAGAAATCATGCACTTGATTTGACCAACATATAAAAACGGGTTGTTACTGGACTGAAAACAGTCATCGAAACACTGCAAACTTTAGGTAATGACCATCGAATCACCATTTCTTGTTTGTTTCATTTTTTTACATCCATCAAACATGTGTGTATACTTCTTGTGCTCGGCACTTTAGTTTTTTATCACATGTACCACTGGTGTGGATTATTGCTCATACTTTCAGTCACTGGTTTGCGTGGTCCGGGATATTGGGATTTTATCGAAAAAATATACAAAACCTTTAGTCCTTGTTAAAGGGTTGCTAGATGGCTCAGAGGGAGTCGATGAAACATTACACCGAAACTTACACAACTACATCTGTAATCATTTCAAAGCATTTTACTTGAAAATATATAATTAGTGCACAAGGAATAGATAGAACAGCTCTCAAAACATAATCACGAAACTGGGCGGTCGGGTAGCCTAGTGGTTAAAGCGTTCCCTCATCACGCCGAAGACCCGGGTTTGATCCCCGACATGGGTACAATGTGTGAAGCCCATTTGTGGTATCCCCCGCCGTGATATTGCTGGAATATTGCTAAAAGTGGAGAAAATCCCCACTCATGCACTCATAATAGAAAGAGCATTCCTAGAAAACTAATACCCATTTTAGGCATGAAAATTGCATATGTTCGGATCTATTTTGTGAACAGTAATAAAAAATTGTAACAAAAGAAATCTCTATAATCAGAAGAAACCTCTTCCCAAAGGAGAGCCCACTGCGCTACAACGACCGTACCACAAACATGTGTCAACGAATCACCATCAGACAACGATGGCATCAGCCGCCACAAACACACGCAAAGGAAAGCCAACCACATACCAACCCAAACAACGCGAAATGCAGACATCAAAAGTCAGAGCCCATGGAACAACCGCTCAACACAAAAGTACACAAATGGAAAGCTGACCACTGATTGCTTTCAGCAATATTCCAGCAATATCACAGCGATGGAGAATGGGCTTCACACATTGTACCCATGTGCGGAATCGAACCTCTTTTTAACCAATCAGAATCAAACATTCAATGTCATGGTAGAACATGTAATATGTACGGAATACTCGATATTTTTGCTATTAAATACTGAACTTTTGAAGTACTTCTAAATGTGTCAGTATCAAAACATATATACTCAACAACAAAAGTCCCTGTGACACCAATATTTTAGTGTAGTTTTCAAACAAGTAAAGTTTGGTTTTCAATATTGTAGTACATGTATGGAATCAAGTCACAAAAACGCAACTGCTACAGAAAAGCATGCATTCCATGCAAAAGTTGACCACATGCATTTCACTACCCAAGCATGGGTATAAAAAACATGTGCGTTAAAGGGATCAATACGCATTGTTTAGCATCGGGCTGACAACAACCACTCAGAAAAATAACAAAATTACGCAATTATTGAACATTACGAAATGCCACGCCTGTCCGAAAATGAGCGTCTGCGAGCCATTGGTGTGCTTGAAGCAGGATCGAGTCAACGTGATGTTGCAAGACAATTTAACGTCCACAGAAACACTATTTGGTGTTTATTAATGTTGGCAACAGACGAATGCAGTCAGAGACCATCCTCGGAGTGACAGGCCACGCGTA